CTCACGAAGTTGGACCGGTAAAACCTGGTTTTTCCCATCTGCGTCAGTTGACGAAAGACGTGCTAAGGTGCAGGCAGCAGTCGCGAACGCAAAGACGGAAAGGATGTTGTTGTTGAGAGGCGTTGAAGCAGCTGAACTTATGATGGAGGGAATCCCCAAAAACCAAAAGGAATCCTTGAATGCGATGTTGTCGCAAGTAGATGTCATGGACCATTCTCAGGCTAGAAAGCAAGCCAAAAGCATCCAACCGGCGATGTTTGAGTTTTGTTGTTCCAATGAGTCTACTCTTGGAAAAGTAAATGGAGAAAAAGGGGTTACCCATTTCAGATTGAGTAAGGATGTTACCGATCTCACTAATCCTGATGATGTGAAATCACTGAAGCTGTTGATCAAAAGGTTTCCAGGTTGCCATCTATGGGGTTCGCTACCGTGTGATCCATGGTCAAAATGGCAGAGCGTCAACGTAGCCAAATATGGAAAGGCTTTTGCAAAGAAACTTCGAAAGAGGCAAGACCTCTCAAGAGTCCTGCTTAGCCATTTCATAGAAGTTGCAGAACTTGTCCTCGAACAAGGGGGTCATATCTCCTTTGAATGGCCGAAAGGGGCCAAGGGCTGGATGTTGCCAGAGTTGGTCGCATTCATGAAACGCCATAAGCTTTTCATAGCTGAATGTCATGGATGCCATTTTGGAATGCAAAGTTCAAAAGGTAGACCAATGTTTAAGCCATGGCACATTGCAACTTCGTCCTATCGTTTGGCAGTTAACCTGAACAAATGTAGGTGTCAACATGCGAGTGGATTCAAACATGATCATGCAAGGGGAAGTGAGACGCCCAAGACAGCATTCTATCCTGAAACAATGTCAAGGACAATCAGCGAATGCCTGTTTCCAGAAGCCGTGTTTGCAATGCCAGTGATAACCAAATCAAGTGTGGTGAGCCCCCCGGCTCCGCACCAATGTAACTCGAATGTTGGCAGCCATGAAGTTCAGCATAAGCAAATCCTTGCCATGATGAATGCACTTACATCAGAATCCAAGCACACTCCCAATCAACCGGATCCCCATTCTGTCTTTGCAGGCATCCATATGTTGCTTGATAGAAAAGATTGGCACAAACATCCGGGATGGGAGGAAGCCATCGCAAAAGAAGCTGGTGGTATCCTAGAAAATGGGACTTGGAATTATGATGAAGTTGTTGCAAGAGAAGATTTGTTGAAAAGAAAGACTCCAGTGCACGTGGGTAGGTTGATGACCATCCTGAGTGTGAAACACTGGGAAACGCCTGAGCTTCGAAGGCTTAAGGCCAGGATCGTCTTCCGAGGAGATGACATTCGAGATCAAGATAACAACATCGCTGTGTGACAGGAAGCAAAAGTCAACCCATCTGGCTTAGCTGGCATTAATGCCAACCTAGCTTACGGTTGCATGAAAGGCAATTGCACATCCCAAAGCGACGTTGTGCGCGCTTATACGCAAAGCTTCTTGAACACTCAGGTTCCTACTTGGGTGGAACTACCCAGTGAACTTGTTCCAGAGAAGTTCCGTGGGATCAAACGTCCTTGTGTGAGATTATGGAAATCGCTATACGGGCACCCAGAGGCAGGATTTCACTGGGACCAAAGGTTCAAGGAAATAATGGGTAGTTTAGGAGCAGTGCATTGCGCAGACACCTTTCAATCAACCTACTACATGAAAAGCACGAAACTCATGCTCACGCTCTATGTTGACGACATACTGTTAAGTGGACCACAAGAAAACCACAAACAGTTTTGGGAGATGATCCAAAAACACATAGAGATTGAGGATCCTACCCCTGTTGACAGAGTCTTAGGAAGGCGTCATATCATAAAAAGGGACGAAAATGGAGCATCAATGAAATTTGACATGTCAGACTTTGCCAAGAATGCATGTGCCACCTATGAGGAACTCAGCGGATGCACGTTAAAGTCTGCGTCAACACCATACTTGCCAGACGGATCATTGGTTGACAGTGATTTCGATGAAAGAGGATGTATGGCTAATGATGCTTCAAAAGTGCTCATGAAGATCCTTTGGAGCGCCAGATTGGCGCGCCCAGATCTGATGAAACGCATATCAGATTTGACAAGAAAGATCACCACTTGGTCCCGAGCAGATGATCGACGCCTATTCCGACTGATGTCGTATCTGAAAGGTACTGCACATTTCATGTTAGAAGGCCACATCAGGGATGACCCATCAATGTTGCATTTGTGCTTGTATACAGACAGTGACCATGCTTCCGGCATCGAGGATGTGAAATCCACATCAGGTATGATTCTAGCTCTAGAGGGCCCAGATTCATATTGGCCATTATGTTGGAGCTCTAAACGCCAAGGAGCCACCGCTCGTAGCACATGTGAGGCAGAGATAATTTCTTTAGATTCAGGTTTTTTTTGGGGAAGCCGTGCCCATGCAAGACTTGTTTGATTTGATATTAGACAGGCCCGTGCATTTGATTTGCCAGCAAGACAATGCCGCAGTCATACAAATCGTGCACGGAGGGTGCAGCGCAAAACTTCGCCATATGAGAAAGATTCATAAACTGAATCTCTCAGCCCTGTATGAACTCTTTAGAGACCCAGCTATCACACTGCAATATATCAAAGCAGCATTGCAGCGAGCGGATCCGTTCACTAAGGCACTTGAGCCCTGCAAATGGATGACAGCACTTGAACTCATGAACATTTTGCCTTCAGAAATTCCCCTCAAGGCTTAGACTCCGCAGTCAAGCTACGCAGCATAAGAAGGGGGAGAAGAAGAATTCCGAGCAAAACCACCATTTGAGACTTGTGCTACTTGATGTGGAAAGGGAGTTGCATATATGCACCCCTTAGTAACGCCAAAAAGGGGTTGCACATACGCACCCTTAGCAAAGCATTCACGCATGCCTATGTGACAAAATCGAACTGATGTTTCTACCAATGAAGTTACTCAACTGTACTTCGAGGAATTCAGTTTGCCAACGAATGACATGAACTTAACATGTCATTCTCCAGCCGTGGGTCAGGGTAAAATATCTTGACTGACGAACTGTTTGGCTCAAGAAAAGTGTTTGGCGCCCATCGTGCGTTTTGCGGGTCTTGCCATTTGACATCACTTTTTCTGCCACTTTTGTTAATATACACATATATATAAGTATATGGGGATTGATAATGATTATATGACTACTGCTCTTTATGTCTTTATATGTATATATATGTATAGGGGATGATCATCATCCATGAGCTCGGAATATATTTCTTCACCAACCACCATAATGATTACAATAGAATGACAGAGAGGTTTTCACTGCTCACAAGGTCGCTGGTTTGTTTGGAGAGGCACGGCGAAGTAAATGTCAATAGATGGATCGATGGTAACTAGTTACTAGGCAGCAAACTTATATATCTTATATGGGTTGTTTAAGAAAATGGTTTATATCCATTTATATCCCACAAATAGCAATTTCATTCATAGTTTTTTTTTTGGAACATCATCATAATCCATTGGTATTGGGGATACCGAAAAATTTTCAGGTCCAACGGTCCACCCCCTTACAATAGATGTTTGCTGGTCGCTGTTAAGATTAGTTCACGTTGAACGTGGTCAGACCTGCCTTAGGTCCAAATGAGGGAACAGCCTGGCCGATTTCAGAGCGAGAAAAAGCTGCGGCCAGTGACTCTTAAAGTCTCTCTATCTCTATGTGTACATACATGTGTATATAATATAACTATAACATGATATAATATGGCATAATGCAATACAATAGAATATACTTTTGTAAAATATAAAATAATATAACCAACAAAAAATATAATATAATATATATACACATGCGTGCTGTAGTAGAATGTTATATGATATATGTTGATATTTTTTTGGGGGGATGGCTAGTGCAACAACCAGATACACCAGATACAACTGTTGCTTATCAGTTGTCTCCATCTCGCATGTCCTGCCACAGCGACTACGAGGCGTCGAAGAGATGCGATGTCAACGAGCCTGGTCAAACTTCTCAGCAGCTTCGAAAGACACCGAAACATCCAATGGATAAACTGCTGGTATGGATATACTGGTGAACCTCTGGTAAACGTTTACATAATGGAACATCACCATGCTATTAATGGGAAAATATGGGAAAATCCACTATTTCGACTGGGCCATTTTCATTTTTTGTTGGTTTGTTTACCAGAGGGTAACCACCCCAATGATTTCGGTTGTAGAAGAATGACGTTGAAAAATGCCTACACGAAGCTTGGCCTCGTTCGATCGGGTTGCGAGGCCAATGGTGGGGTCTTCGCCGCTGGGAGCCGAAGGAAATGTCGAGGGGAAAACTCTGGTGATCCAGTTGGATTGGATGATGATCCAGTTACTGTACATACCATCTGGTTATATCTGGTTATTTAACAGTTATCTTACCTAGATTCTATAGATGATTATATTATCAATTGGAATCTCAGGATCCAACAGATGGAGGTACGTTAGTACCATATTTTTGGCCATATTTTGATATATTTTGTACATAAGTTGGATTCTCTAAGGGAATCCAACTATGAAGTATTTTGGATTGATGGCACCCAACTGGCACAGATGGGCGGAGATTTCCATTACAGCTCTTCATTTGTAGCTCAAGATGGCATATCTCAGCTGAGGTTGACAAACCTGCAGGTCTTGAGCTTAGCTGTTCGAAGCCATCAATTTTTTAAAAGCAACTTCTGAAGTAGTCGATTTGTTTTTTTTCATTTTGATCATTGTTTTGTCATTTATCGCATCCCCTATTAATATTAAACACCCCCATTCTATGGTTCCAAAGATGTGTAGACAGTTTGGTGATCCATTATATCATATATCATTGAATATCAATGACATGATCATGTATCCCATTGTATTCACCACGAATCACCATATGATTAACCACGGATATTCCCATAACCACGATATTCCCATATGAATCACCATGGTTTCTGGGGAAGGGATGATTTTTTTCGTTCTTTCTCCCATGACAACTGGTCGGGTGGTTTTTCCAGGCCCAACGAGTGCGGAGGTGGTTGCGCAAGTCTTGGAAGCCGTAGCTGAGCTGAGGTCAACATGGCTGGAGAGTGACTTCTCACGGCTGTTTAATTGGGGGGGATACCATTTATGAGTAACACATAGTAACACCTCAAGATCCATGGTTGGTTTGGGGCAGGGTCGGGTGATTTCCCTGGTTGGATTCCCCTTTTAGAGGACCTGAAAATTCACATCCGGCACTGAGGTGTCGGCGAAAGTGGGCTCTGCGGCGAAGGTGGGTCACGGGGGAACCCTGGACCCCTTTGCCACGGGCGTGCGCTGCTCAGAGCCACGGGCACACCCAAAATAGGCTGGAAAATAGGTACTATCAATTGTTTACAACATCCTGGAACGACTTTAACTGAATCATTTTGGAGATGCCAACATCAAGGTAGTTCATAGTAGTTCCAACAAGACCAAACATTTAAACATTGATGGTTTTCCCCAACAGTTTCCGTATACAGCAATTCAACCATCAAACCCATTGACATTTTTGAAAACATTTGGTACCTGAAAATTATGGGCACACACAATTCCATCAGTTTGAGGAACCTCACTTTCCGAAAAATTGCCAGCGTTGGGGGGGGTAGTATCTATCTATCTATCTATCTATCTATCTCTATCTATCTCTATCTATCTATCTCTATCTATCTATCTATATCTATCTATCTATCTATATCTATCTATATCTATCTATATCTATCTATATCTATCTATATCTATCTATATCTATCTATATCTATCTATATCTATCTATATCTATCTATATCTATCTATATCTACCTATATCTATCTATATCTATCTATATCTATCTATATCTATCTATATCTATCTATATCTATCTATATCTATCTATATCTATCTATATCTATATCTATATCTATATCTATATCTATCTATCTATCTATCTATCTATCTATCTATCTATCTATCTATCTATCTATCTATCTATATACAGTATATACATACATATATACACACATTATATCTATCTATTTATATATACATATATACACACATCATATATATATATCATATCATATCATATCATATCATATAGTCAATTGAATGTCAATGGATTTTCAGGGACGATTTACCATGTTCTTCAACATGTTGAACCATGTTGAACCATGTTGAACCCCCCCAAAAAGCATGGGAAATCCATGAGGTGCTGGTCCTCGGCCTTGGACTTGGCACTCGCATGCTGCATCTTGGCAAACTGTGGGTGCCATGACTCGTTAGGGATGGCTTATTAGTACCGTTATGTTTGTTTTTGATGATGGTTATAAGTTATGATCATGATCATTATTATTGTTATTGTTATGAAACAAATCATATTATGATGGCTATAAGTTATGATGGTTATAAGTTATGATCATGTTCTTTTTTTAAAAAAATCATTGCGTTTGCCACAGAAGAGTTGCGGAAGCCATTTTTGGTCCTTGTGGTTTGCTGCGAAAGCTGCCGACTCAGGCAGCGGTTTCTGCATGGAGGAAAGGAATACGTGGCCACCATCAAGATGGGATCAGAAACGAATACGCAGGACTGGGGTGAACTTGTGAGCATTGGAGATGGAAACGTTGGAAACTCGTGTCACTTTCCAACGATGCTCTCCCTTTTTTTACCATGGGATGTAGGACGATGGACAAACATGGACAATGTAGGAACTATGCTTAGGCTCGGGAAGAAGTCCATCGTGGCTCTTGGACATCTCAATTCGAAGATGATCAATGTTTTAGTAAAGCAATAATAAAGCATCCATATTTTGATGGTTAACACCACCCATTTAAGTAGTAAAGTTGGGGATGGTTGACTAGTGCTGTATCAATATTGAGGATTTCATCTTGGAATGGATTGGTTTGTTTGGATCTGGAAACCTTTCATTGATTTTCCAATGAAATATGGGGCCTTTCCAGTGAATTTTCCCTTGAACCAATCCTGATTTCATCTTGAAATGGTGGATTCCCAGTGGCAGCCAGCGTGGCCAGCCATGATTTTCGCTCAGGATGGTAGCGGCTCGGTGCTTCGAACAGCAGCCTTTGATGATGTTCAACGAAGTTCCCTCGAGGATCTGTTTTTCGATGTGGGGATCAGCACTAAAACCATCGTTTTTCACACCCCAAAGATGAGAATAGTCAGGATATACTAGATATACCTGTATTCTATGCTATAGATAGGATAGGACAGGACCGGATCGGACCGGATCGGATCGAAACATAGAGAGAGAGAGAGAGCGAGATAGAGAGTTGCTGATTGCTGGGATTGCGATTTGTGTAATTTGCTCCCAGGAGGCTTTGGCGGGCTTCCGCGGCACCATCCGCCAGGTGGAGTGGACTTGTCTCAGATTTCAGGGAAACCAAGCAAAAAACCATGATGAACCATGGTTTCCCCTCATGAAAATGGGGTTTCCTTGTGGATTTTCCCCGAAAATCTCGGTAAAACCATTGTTGGCCTCAACGAACATAGGCTTTCCATGGCTTTCCTGTAGATCCCTCAGATCCAGCGCCAATCCAATGGAATGTCCCGCCGCGCCGCTGGCACACAGCCATCCAGCAGTGGGCCTGGTGTTCACAAGGCAACAAATTCGATTCAGAGCAGTGTTCAAACCCCTGGTGGTTGATGATTAGTTTGCGGGTTAGGCTTCCCTTGATATCTTGAGTTTTTTTTTCATCATCCACAGATGGTGCATCCACATCATCCACTTTTTATACAGCAAACATCAAGCACACTACATCCACAGTCGATAGGGCGAAGGGGCACTTGGTCAGATTTGCGGCAGGCACGATATTTTAAAAGTGGTCGAACCTTGTCCATGCACACGGTTGGCTTGCTGTTTTGAATTGTGTTGAACCCTTGAGGACCTTTTTGGGAAGGGAGACCCGTTCGGCTAGGTGAATACTGAACTGTTTGCGGCGAAGAAATGGCGGAAGTCAAGGCTGAACATTGCTGAACTAGGAGCAGCCCTGCAGGAACTGATTGGAGAGTTGGTAATAGGGTTCGTTTGAAAACAGGGCAACCCAAATCATAGGCTGGATAGCAATGGAGAGAGAGAGAGAGAACCGTCATTGTCTATCATCATTTCCCCATGTTAGTTACACTTTAACTATCGGTTAGAGCCATTTATATATAATCTCATATAATTATAATATTCATATATATATATAGTAGCCATTTATATCATAGCCATTTATATGTAATCATATAATTATATATATATATATTATTATATATATTACCCTCTGGTTATTTAACATAGCCATGGAAAATGACCCATTTATAGATGGTTTACCTATCAAAAATGGTGATTTTCCATGGCTATGTTAAATAATCAGAGGGTAATATATTATTCTAAAGACTTTCGTAAAGAATGATGTCCAGATTGATGTCACTCAGTGAGGCATTCAGTGCGCAGGTGGATGCGGTGGATGCAGCGGCGCTGCAACAGCTTCTGCCGTTGAGTCGCGGAGCTCAGGGTTTCGCCATGGGCGACGATCCAACCGGGAGATCCCTAGGGAGTTCAAAATTAAGGCGGTTGAAACATGTTGAAACCCCAGCCTCATGTCATATGTTATCTATTGTTATCTCATTTTCAATAGGACAATTTGGATTAATTGATTGATTCCCCTAGAAGTCTCAGATGGGGTCTCAGATGTCTCGGTCAGAATTTCCCCTGCACCAGTGAGGGTTTCAGGATGCGATCCTAACCCTGCAAAGGACAACAATCACAAACAAAGTCTAACAGACACATTCAACATGTCTGGAACTCAGTCTCATATCCCACCAGATTCTCTACGTGGCTTCCTTCAGAACCCGGTGGTTCTTTCAAGGGTAGCGGTAGCCCATCCCAAATCACCCTGGGCACAACGAGCGTCTTCCGAGAAGGTGACGAGAAGGGCGGCGCTGAAGCTCGCGAACGGATGTTTAAGGCCTGGGGGAATGATGGAATGATGTGGATCCTATCCCGACTTAACAGGGCAACAAAAAGAGCCTAGCCTGGCCCAGCTCTCTGTGGTTAAGAGGTACAGAAGCAGCCCTATTTTTGCTCAAACATGTGGTTCCTCGTAGATTTTTTTCACTCTAAGATCTGTAGCCGTTTTTTAGAAACTGATGTAGTGCATGGTAACCTGGTACTGCCATGGCCTGAGGAATTCGTGGTCCGCTCCAACTGCTTGGTTCAAATGGGCGAAAGTGTGGCTACGAAGGCCGGCACCGCAGAAAAACCGAGAAAGCCATTTTCTGGCTGCCAGAAAAAAGCCCCCCCAAGAAAGATGGAGATCAAGTGAACCCGTGGTCTACACATATATAATCACTTATATATGTATATATAGAATATCTGTTTACATATATATATAATATATGTGTATGCTTCTGTATGTACATTAAGCATTATTAAACATGTAACTTGGAAAAACCTATTGGATTTCGTTCAAAGATTTTTTCAATCCCCTTCTCTATGTCAAAAAATCACGGTGATTTACATTTGATCCCAAGATTATCTTTTTGGAATTATGACCAACCATAGACAAAGAATGGGATAGAGCGGAATCTACAGGAAATGAAAATAAATGAAACATCAGGAAACCATACTTCTGCTTCAACAAACATAACAAATCATAAAGATGAAGGTTTCCTGGTAGAATGTCCGACCAATCCAGAAATGGCTGGAACAAAAAATTAGGCCCGGAGCCGCGCCTGGAACGGCACTCTGAGTCTGGACAGCCTGAGGTGGGCCCAGTGGGGAGGTCACCAGGTGGATGAAAAACGGGTGATTTTTCAGCAGCTGGATTCAAAACACACATTTATAGAGTGTATAACCGTATAACCCCATAAACACCAGTTTTTCATATGTTTTCATTCCCCATTAAGAATCAACCAAATTGATGATTCTGAACGGAAACTTGGGGATGGTTTGGGACCAAAAGTTGCAGTGCCCGAACAGCCTCGAAACGATGGTTTTTTCAGAACTGGCCGTGCTTTCTAACACACGTTCGCAGCAAAATTTGGAAAAAATCCAAACCTTGAGCGGCTCCGCTGGCCATTTTTGGTTCGTGAGCTGTGTCTCCAAGTTGGGAAAAGATTGGCCCAGATGGCGGAGGAAGAGGACCTGGAGGAGCCACGCGGCTTGCCAGCAGGCGTGGACAAGGAGATTTTGAAAGAAGCTCCAGATGCTTGGATTTGGTGATTCTTGATTTTCCTATTGGCTCATGGCAAATCCACGAGAAATTGGGAATCGGGAGGAGCATATGTGTTTTATTAATGGTGCCCATTGTCATCCATTGTCCAAGGATGCACATTTTCATTCACCAACAGCTGGAGATGAAGTGACGGTGCACTATGTCGGCACCTTGCAGGATGGTCAAGAATTCGATTCCTCGCGCTCGAGGAGTAAAGCCTTCACCTTTACACTCGGTCAAGGTCAAGTGATCCCTGGGTGGGACTTGGGGGTGGCATCCATGCGCAAAGGTGAGGTGGCAAAATTCACCCTGGCGCCAGAGTTTGCCTATGGCGATGCAGGTGGGCTTCGGAAATGCACGACATGTAAAGCCAGCTTCATCCATTTTTTCGGAACTTGAAAACTTACTACGAGGGTTTCTTGATATGCTCACCCATTGGGTGTGATGCAACCCCTTTATCAAGTGGCTTAAGTGTCAAACTTCCAGCTTCCTGGCCAATCCAATTTTGGGACTTGGGGTATCCACTGAGCACTATTGGTACCATGTCTTGCAGGTTCACCTCCCAAAATTCCCGAGAAAGCCACGCTGATCTTCGAGATTGAGCTGTTGGATTTCGTCTCAAAGGACGACCTCTTTCGGGATGGCGGGGTGGTGAAGGTTGTGCAGAAGGAGGGCAGTGGTTGGAAGGTGCCCAAGAACAAGAGTGAACAAAGGACTGGGACCTCCCGGGTCTCAACAGATTTTCACATTTTTCACCTCTCAAAGGAGAGGCTGTTGAATTGGGTTCAAACATCAGCTGAATTTTCAAATCTTTTTCAGTTGCTGTTGAATTGGTCTTCAACCCCCTCAGAAAGGGTGAGTCTTCAACCCCTCAAAACGGGTGATGATTATAAGATATTATAAGATATTATAAGATACTACAAGAAAAATGTGAAACCCTGAAGGATTTCACTGAAAATATGCAAGGCAGATGGATGCCTCCTTGAAGACAAGGGTTCCTTTGACTTTCTGATGGGTTCAGAGGCCTTGGGCCCCTTGACAAAAGCAGTGGAGAAAGCGCTGCTGAACATGAAGAAGGGGGAGGAATGCAAACTGATCTGCCGGAAGGATTCTGGTGATCATTTCAGGATATTCCAGGCTGAATTTTGAGTTTTCAGACTGTTCTTTTTTCCATGCATAGCTGGAAAGATAACCCCCAATGCGCTCATAAAGACACACAATTACAATGAACTTCCTTCGATCAGGGAACCCCGCCAACGTCTATTTTGGGCTAGTTGGGCCAACCAAAGATGAAGATTATAAAGGAACCACATCTCCAAAATCACTTCGAGCCCGAACATCCCATGAACAATATACAGGAAAACCACCAAAAAAGACGATGGTAAACACCAACGTCGTTGCAGTTCCGATTTTCCCTCAATCCAGCCTTTGATGTTGGATTATTGCTGGTTAATCTTTGGATTATTGCCGGTGAATCTCCAATTTTTGCTGGTTCTCCCCAGTAGCTGCAAAATTTCCCAAGGAACCCATGGAAAGCCATGACTTCCGGGGCTTCCCATGGCCCATGGGTGGCGCCAAGGACTACGCATATGGCGAACAAGATCTGTTGCTGCTCTTGGGTCTGGAAGAGCTCTATGAGATCCAGGATGTCTCGTTGGCGAAGGATAAGTCGATGATGAAGAAACAAATCAAGGACGGGGATGGATTGGGGAATAGTTGTGACATATCCACAACTCATAGGTGATTTTCATGATGATTAATAGTTGGATATATATATATATATATAGCAGTTAAATAATGTTAAAACATGTTAAATATAGGTACCCGGATGGTGCCCTATTTTATAGTTGCTTTTCACGGATGTTTATTCCTCTGAATAGGGTAATAGGTTTTGACCCATCCCCAATAGTGGTGACATGTCATGGTGGTCAAGGACTGAGGATTTTAACCATCGAAAAAAATGGGTGAATCGATGGGACCTGATTGAGAAACATAGGGGGATTTCACCATCAAACACGGGGGTGGCTCACCATTTTTTTTATGATCATAGAAAAATGGAACTGGATAAATCAAGATATGGTATGTCACCATTTTATGGGGGTATGATGGGGGTTGATCAACAACATTTTTTTAATTAAAATTATATAACCATCGAACATGAGGAACATGATGTAATCCTTAATAGCTGGGATACAAATATGATAATATGGATATAGCCTGGTTTTAAAATGTTTTAAAGTCATTTTGATGGCCTTTTGGTTATCTAGCCTTTCGT